GGGGGGGGGCGGGGCGGCAGGGGGGGGGGGGGTGGGGGGGGGGGGGGGGGGGGGGGGGGGGGGGGGGGGGGGCGGGGCGGGGTGGGGGGGGGGGTTGGGGGGGGGGGGGCGGGGGGGGGGGGGGGGGGGGCGGCGCGGGTGGGTGGGGGGGGATGAGGTTCGTCCAGTGGAATGCGTGGAAAATGGAGCTCGATGCAGGCCAAAGAGAACAAGGAGATTCGTGAAGCCTCTCCAGGTGGATCAGCGTCGAAAGAGCTATGTGCACCCCAGGTAACCAGTTACATTTTAAAGTGAGGGGGTATTAGGAGAACAGCTATTAGACATTCATTTATTGTACACGAGCTTGCTAGCTATTCTTTACTCTTCTTATTTTCTACTTCTTGACTGTTGTGTAAATGCTCTACTGGGTTAGCCCGATTGGTACATCCACATCATTGTTAATGGACGCTCATCGTCATGTCCTTCTCAGCAGCGCCATTCGCAAAAACATATTCTATTGGTTTTTTCTGCTCATCAATGTTCCACTTGGGTATGTTAAGGGAATAGTTAGTTGTCACACAATTATTGTGCTAGTTTTCAACGTTTGGGTCTGCATTCCTTATTCTCGTTTGTTTCGTGACTTATGTTCAAACGTTCATTTCATCGTTCTGATTGGCCGGTGCCAGTCACCGTAAATGGACGTTCACTTTACGCTTGGAGTCCAATGATGCTATTTTTAAGGACATGCGCGATTCGCTCTTGAGTGCACGGTTGTTTATTCGCCGTTGCATTTGACGTTTTTCCTACAGTTGGTTGGCTCAAGTGTACTTTGGTAGCTTCCCTTCATTTTGCCTTCAAACTATATAAGCAACTGTGGTTGCATGTATACAAGTCTCCATCTGGCTCGTCTTAAATAATAAATAAATAAAGTTTTTATTCTCGACAAGGCGAGGCACGCCTTTACAGGCATGATCATTATGACAACAATGCGTGGTCTAGAATGTGCAAGAATACGTTATGTTTGCCGTACCAGTGCATGTTTATGTAGGGGGTATGTAACTATGTAACTGTGTGTGTGGGTGTGTCACTGTGAGGTTCCTGTTGGTAACCGTGCTGCTCTAAATTTGACTCTCATATCGTCGGCAATGCTCGAGTAGAAGGTGGATGTCCGTGCGTTGGAAAGGATTATTCGGATACCCACGGGGCAGTGACTTTATTTTGTGGCGAGTCACGACCGCCACGTCACAGTGTTGTTAAGCAGACATTTGTGGCTTTTTATAGGGAGAACGCTTGCCAGGCGAAAACCCACCACGTCCTGGAACACTGCCGCCGAACTATTTGCTGGAACGGGTTAAACTCGAACCACCCAGCTGGCACCACGAGGAGGTTGTTCGGCTAGCCAGCGGTCGTGGGGTGAAGTCGCCAACGGCGGCACAACAGGGGAAGGGCCATTAATTGGGCGGTTGAAAGCTGGGGAAAAACCCGAAGTGAGAACGTGACTATAAACTTACCATTTCGTAAGAGGGGTATAGTAGGACGGGAAGGCTTGAGCAGTAACATCCAAACCTCTTTCTACCCTGCTCGGTGGAGCTGGTTGGTCTCCCTTGCTCATCCCCTGCGGTGACCAGAGCATTCTGAGATAGTTTAAGGAAGTGATCATTGCATTTCGTGAGAAGGATAATGTCACCGTACCCAAACATAGACAAAAGCGATTTGTGTTCTCAAGCTAACCTTTGATTTAAAAACCTGACCGCAAGGCAGCCAGTCCGGCGGTGGACTACAAGGAGTCCTTTGTAAGGAATAAAGGGCCACCCTAATTGCAACCCCTAAGCTGGAGGGCAAAGAGACTGAGTTTGTCTGGCCTCTAACCATGGACCAATCTGGTATAAGTGGATCTGAAGAGGCAGCAAAACACCAAACAACTGGGTCCAATGGATAGCTGAGGCACGCAAATCACTGCACTACGGTAAGGTGCAGCGTCATTGCTCCTTCAGCGACCACCCACAAGCGGCAGCAAGTCGCTTGAAATGCCTGAAGGCAGCACCTGTGATTTCCTTGACTACAATATGAGGTTGACAATGCTAGTCCAGCCTCGTGTAATACAAAACCCTAGGCCGATAAGCTAAAGTAACATAAACTTCTCCATCGTGGTGTTGATTGCCTCTGACGTTTCTGCTGCTAGCATAGGTTGCGCCAAAGGTTGTTCACTCGGTTAGCAGCATGCAGGCAACCGTTCCTGAGGCTATCTTCTGGAATTCTCCATATCGGAGGCTCAGTTGCTCCGGTTCCTGCAGGTATTTAATCACAATAATGCTGCTTGGGTGGATGCTATTCATTCCAGACTGTTGTAGGAGTTGGGCGGCAGCTACACGCAAAAGCTCCGGCATGTTGAGGATGATCCGGGCATTCGAAGCAAAAGTGTTTAGTTATAGGGAACTTTAATCGCCCCAGCTTGAGTTGGCAGTATTTCGCCTACGATGTTAAAAAATGTGTTGCTACTGAACTTCTCAATCTAGCCTCGCAGGCTCACTTGTAGCTGTTAGTTGTTTGTCCCACTACATTACTGAAGAGACATACCCGTCCATTTTGGACCTATGCTAACCCTTGACTTTGTCATGGACATTGGTCCCTATGCTTCGTTCGTGACGGGATGGCATTTGAACTGGTCTTGCGGCGTGGCATGGAGTAAAGGGGCTGACGTACCCTGAGCGGTTACCGGAGGTCGTGGATTGCTTCACTTAAGTTGGTATTTGTGTCAACCGCGGTGCTCTCATAACTGCTAGATTTGTTCGCGTATCATAAAGGCTCGCGCAGCTTTCTAGCGACAAAACAGTTGATGGAAGGCGGCGTGTCATGTGCCCGTGAGTGAAAGGTTGAGTGTATAATGCCGCGGTAAGGCCGGTCTTCCTGTATGGATAAGGGACCTGGGCCTTTGGCGGTGAGGACATTAAATAGCTTGCCGTGTTTGACCACCCCGGTTTGTGGAATAATTTTCAAACCTGGTTGGAACTTCCGGTGAACATTGCGGAGGTCTGCCAGCTAAGTGTTTGATAACAAGCCTTCTTTCTCTTCACGGGATAGTTTACCGCATCCGACTAACTGACGTTGGCTAGCCCATGTCCTCCGTATACCTGTTGACCGGCTTCCTCGGCGTGCATACGCACCGTGGCGGATCCCATTTGGGCGAAACCATGAGGTGGGCAGTCCATGACGTTGCATGCAGGCATGAAAATATTGATGAAGCTAATCGGGATACCGCGTGCCATCTCCGTGGAACTGGACTTCGGCATGGTCCGCATCCAGGGCCGCAGACCGGATCAGCGGCGGCGCAATCAGTGGTGTTCCTACATTCCATTGCTTGTATCCGGTTGTTAATTTTCTTTCTATTCTAGTGAATTTAATACACTTGCTTCCATTTATGCTTTACATTTTTACGTCAAAGAAAACCATCTTGACGTTCTTTGTCATTATTGTGCCCATGTGCGAGTCACGCCTACTGCTTCTGCGACACCGCGGTCGCGGATCATAGTTCATCTTCTGAAGTGAACTGGCAGTGCCATACATCCTGTTCGACGGCGCCTTAAACTTCCGGCCCACAGCGATTAAACCCAATATTCCATTGGCCTTATAACGTGCTCAAGCTAAACAATGGGATTACTCCGCTTTGTGACAGCCTGCAATAAATATGGTCGCCAACGCTCACTAGTGTGGTGCTCCTTCGTTACGTACGGGAAGCGTCAATGATACGTACTGTGTGGTCGGCTTGGTCCAAGTAAAATTGTCCATCGTCTGGAAACAGTTCCCTAGCTTGCACGTTGTGTCCTGTGAACGCGACCTTCGGTATCTAGGTCAGCTGGTTCATATACCATAATCTAGCAGTCACAATACCTGTGCCTTCTACACCACTAGTAAATCTGCGTCTCCTTGACACATCTTGTCTCGGGACTACAAGCCTCCGAGTACAATTAGCCACATATATGGATGCCACTTGAATGCCACATGGTACGCGCCTACAATGATCAATTGCGCAGGTCGTCCGCCTCACTGTAAATAAACGCACAGTCTATATTCATGTGGCTTTTGAACCGCCAGTAGACCTGCGCTGCCCGGATTCCTAGTTTGTTGTTGCCACACCGCCTTCGCCAAGTATGAACCATGGTTGTTTGTGTTAGGTATTCCTACAGCAAGTGCCCACTCCGTACATTTAGCCCCATACCACTTACACCTGGTTCCGGTCCAAGGTTTCGCTGTGCCATACCGCTTCAGGGTAGCAGGCGCTATTGCTTATTTTGTACCTTTTCCTGGTAGCTGCGAACCCTCCATTCCCTTGGCTTTTGACACCAAGTTGACGTACACCGACCTATGCAATGGCTTCTTAGTGACACAGTCCATCAACGGACGTTACCCACTAATTTGGTTGTCAAATGCACTTCCGGTAGCTGAATACCCTCCTGTGCTGTAGCTTTTCGGCAGCCAGCGGAGATGCCTCGCTCCGTCCATACTTTCCCAGTGACACTCAGGCCTTGTCTTTTTCACCTCGGATACTGCGCGGCTTCATATCAGGCGCCTGTATTCCTATTGCAGTCCTGTCTCTGAGGACATGATGCCTCACTTTTCACGGGGCAGAAATCATTTCTCAGTGTCCAACCTTGGTGGGTTTCGAGCAATTTATACGCTCACCCACAAGGTCGGAAATATTAGTGAATGGATTGAACATCATAAACCATTAATGCATCATGCCCTTAAACTTTGAGTACCTAATTTCGTCACACATTGGTTATTAGGCAACCCTTTACCATTCTTTTGTGATACCGCTGTACCTAACTTACGCGGGTGACCACTATCATCTCGCATACACCTTTACAGCAGTCCTGCCTCGCCTACGGCACGCACCTTTATGCAACCTACGATAATCGATGTGAAGTACATCTACCGCTTGTTCGCAAACCAGCGGAAAGCAGCAATGCTGTGTGGCAGCAACGGAGATCCTTCATTTCGGAAAACAACTTTAAGTGAGTTTGTCGGAGCACAATATCCGCACTTATGGTCCTGGTCTTTTCTAAGTTGCATTCGTCCATACGCGCCCACGGCCCAGGTTGCAAAGTGGCACGGCCGTGGTACGTGAGCATGGGTTTCTCACCAAACCCACTGACCTTCTA